CCCCAAAACCCCAAAACCCCAAAACCCCAAAACCCCAAAACCCCAAAACCCCATTTAAGATCAAGAATGTTGAAGAATTTTAGTACTGGCTCTCGATTGTTATTTTTCTCTCAATCTATATCTATTAGAAGAAAGGCAATACCTGTATTGGAATAAACCATCTCAAAGAGAAATCTTCTCCAAATGATTCCTTTATTAACTCCCAAGTCCCTTTTCCACTCTAAAATTTCACTATTTCAATATTTACCTCTTTTCGGAGTGTCTTTTTGAGTTTATCAATAGTTGAAGTTTCGAAAATTATGCACCACATTTGGTCATAAAACATGATTCCAGTGAAGCTTGCAAATAAAACAGCTAAGAAGATGCCCACACAGTTCATAATTGTGGCAATGGGCTCAATAAAGGTTACTCATTGTTCATAAATACAATGATAAGTGTAATATATAGTTACTGAAAGAGCATACATACTGCCAAATCAGACATAGATTCAGAATAAAATGAATGATTTCTGGTTGCTAATCCCAACACAATTGTTAACCCAAGGACAATGATGGTCCATCCTTGCAATGCATGCATTACACTGACTACAATGATGAGATTTTGGAGGCTTTAAAGATTTTCATTTTCTACATTTGTTCTTGAACAAAGCGATTAACAAATCCTTTTCTGTCCCTGTCATGCCCTTAATCTTGCTTGTTTTCTCATACATAGTTCTGAGCTTTGCCACTTCTATACCAAAAATTCCATCTTTCCGGAATAAATCTAGAACTTACCTTCAAGCTGATTATTTTCTAATGCTTGTTTTCTCCTTTTCTTTTCCTCAATCGCATCTAGAGCAACTTGATAAAACTCTTTTGCTCCTTCTGATAAAAGATCCAAATCTAGTTTCCTATACTCTTTTGGAAATCATCCTGGATTCGACATCATTCATACTGTGTGTGACCAAAATATCAAGAAGACAATGCATTGCACAAAAGCAAAGTGAAGATATGGCCCTACATAATTTCCAGATGAAATTTCTGGGAGAATCCCGATAAACACAAAGTTCGCATCCACACCTATCACGATTAGGTAAGTAATTGCGACGAAGATTAAATTAGCAGATCACTTTGCCATTTTCTTCCTGAGTTTTCTCAATAATATTTAACTCAGAAGGGGTTTTGGGGTTTTGGGGTTTTGGGGTTTTGGGG